AAAAAAAAATTAAAATTAAATCATATGATTTCATTACATTGTTGACAAGTTAAGAAAAAGCTTATCAACGATGAAAGCCAGAAACAAAAATGCGATGGCAAAAATAGCCATTGCAACATTTGCCGCAAAATCACATTCATAAAAGATAATTCCATTTCTCTCTCTTTATTTCTCTTTATTTATTGTAATGTGAAAAATTTGTCATATGAAATTACGTCATAATATTTTGCATCGGCATGTAACCTCTGATAATTGGGTAAAGATTCATTTAATACATATACAATTTCAGAAAAAATCATTAATAGTTGTCAATAGTTTCCCAAAGGCGAGCTCTCCAACACAGTAGTGTTGGAACCAGCAGCTTGTTTCTTTTTATTGTATGTGTCGCACAGGGTGGTTTTAAATTTCCAAGGAAACACCCAGGTCTGTAGAAACATATTGCCTAAGAACGGACTGCATTAGGAAAATTTAGAAGAAATTTCTCTAGAATGTCTCTCACATTATTTCCTCTCGGATTTTGGTTTTTAAGCAGAGCAACAAACACGCTACTATCTTGGTGATTTGATTTTTAATAACCGCGGAAAAATTTGAATCATGTTTTGAGATACATATATATCTATTGCTTATTTCCAGATTAATCAATAAAATATACGAAGAAAGACAAATTAAAATTCAAATAGGTTGCTTTCAATCAAAAATGTCCTTAAATTCTCATAATTTATAAAACATCCGCTTCACTTAATTTTACCTTACCTGACAAAATCCATCTAGCAAACTACTTCTCCTACCACTGCTATTTTCTCCTTTGATGTATCGCAAATTAATTGTCTACATTTTTTAGGAGGCTGTCTACGAAGCCACAACAAAACCTCTAGTCCGTGACGTGCTATTAGGGTACAACGCCACCGTTTTCGCTTACGGCGCGACTGGCTCTGGAAAGACTCATACAATGGTCGGTCACCCTGGCAAGGACACCGGTATCATGGTCAGAGCCATGAATCAGCTCTTCCAATTCATAGAAAAACGACCGCAGCAGTATTCAGTAAGAGCATTTTAATAAATACCATCCCTTAAAAAAATACAAATACATATATTCAGGCAATCCATGGTGCATTTCTAATATATTAATATCTTGGCTTTGAATTCTGGAAACCCATCGTGAAAAGGTGTTGGGGCTCGTTTCTAAGGAAAGTCTATTGATGCGTGGATGTTGCACAAAAATACAAAACTGCCACATTTCCTCAAAGAAATTGTCTCTGCCCTACTTATTGTAGGTCATTTCATTTGATATACTCATTGAAAAGTCGAAAGGTGCTTTCAGTTAGGAAGCTATGCAATTAGAACTACTCAACTAACTGTTTCATGCATTTTGGTCTCTAAGCAACTTTCTTTCAACGAGGTCAGGTGTGAGGAGTATGTACAAGGGAACGATTACAACATAGTACCAAATCAGCCGGTATTTTATAGGTATGAAAGCAATTGATTTAATGTCGTAAGTACTTCATGAATTTTAAATATACATGCAACCCAACAACTAAATTCCTTCTTCTGAAAGTAAATGCATAGTTAAGAGCCGCCTGCAATGCAGGTAAATTTTATTTTTTCGGGCTAGCACGTGCGAGGATCTCAAAATTGAATCCTCTCACGAAGGTCCAAATACTCGTAAGGTAACATTTTCAAGTTTAGCTTAGGCTCCAATGCATAATAACTGCTTCCCGAACCCTTCAAATTTATTGATGGATATTTACAGCGACTGATTTTCTTTCCCCTGTACCAAATTTGAGATCGGTGAGGCAGACTCCTGCTCATCACAGTCTAAAATATGAGACACTGAAAAAGTATATTTGAAACTAATGGAACGGATGACAAACGGTTCAGCTTGGCGTTTAATGCTACACAATTATGTGATCTGTAGTTTGAAGAGAATAGAAAGGAACCAGGTTACTTTTATATGATCTGTTTCAGGTTATTTTATCTTACCTAGAAATATACAATGAAAATATTCGCGATCTTCTGAACCCACGGTCCGGGTTTTTAGAGCTGCGGGAAGATTCTACGAAAGATAGGAGTGTTCACGTGGCCGGACTGACAGAAGTTGAGGCCAACTCAACTGAGGAGGTATTTATAAATTACAGTGTTAAGATTCCAAAATAGTTTATTCAAACTAATAAGATAATGATTGATTTCTATCACAGCCACAGTATCACTTGTCGCTCATATTTTTTTCACGCAGTTCACGTACTTGATTTCAAATGAAAAACAATTTACTTCCATTAGTTCCATTACGGCTTGCTGTACAGACTGCAACTGTTGACGAAAATTAAATTACACTTAATTACGGGCGATTCAGCGGGAAAGGCTACACGCCCATTTAATCACAACTGAATAACGAAGATTTGTTTGATGACGTATTTCGTAAACTATTAACGGATTTCGTCGACAGTTAACGAACGCAGACTTAGAATGTGTATCTCATGGTAAGACTACCATATTTCCCACTTACGGCAATGATATTGAAGATTATTAAAATACTATCAACGCGATTTTTCCAGTGGTGTTTGCTATTTACCTTTGGCTCGGGGGTACCTACTGCTGTAAAAGCCTCCATTCGGTTTATGAAATGTTCCCGGAGAGTGACTTGCGGTAATTTTATGCTCATTTGGTTTTCAGGTGATGGGTTTGCTGCAGAAAGGGAACAAGGAGCGTAGTTGTGAGCCCACGGCGGCGAATAAGACGTCATCGCGAAGTCACGCACTGCTCAGTGTTACGGTGCGTCGCGCTCTGGCCGTCGTCGGCGAGTCACACAACAAACTTCGCACACGAGTCCGCCAGGGACGCCTCTTCATGATAGACCTGGCCGGCTCCGAGAGGGCCGCTCAAACCAAGGTATAATGCCCTACTCAACCTTATATTTTAAATATAATATTCTGAAAACACCATGTTAGTCGATTACGTGGTGATTTAATGTGTATTTTTGGAGCCAAAGGCCTAGTCCAAAGACTCGGAGGAATTTCAAACGTGCCGGAAGGTGGGAAAATAATGAAGGTGATCTGTTACGGCAGTCAAATTGCTATCTCCTCTCATTTTCCACAGATGTTTGTTAAAATAAGATGTATTTAAATATGTAATGGACCACTAGACAAGGTACAAAATTAAGCATTCTGATACATGTTACCCAAACAAAAATTTAACGGAAAACACGATTTGTGCGACGAAAATCACTGAAATTCACTCCTAAACGACGTATTTGATGTTTTTTCATGCGTTAATCCAAACCTCCCACTCATGGCAACGCAATGGCCCACGCACGTCAGATTGCAAAATAAACGTCACCGTGGCAGCCTCTGCGATACGAAAATATGGTAATTTCAATCTTGACGCTTTGGCTCAGCTACGGTTAATTGTTTAAACTTTGTACAATAAAGGGTGGGAAATGAACAACGTTTGACTGAGAAGCCTGCCAAAACCGTTGCACTGCGCGATTTAACTTACCTAGAGTATTGTATTTCTTGTGACCGGGCATTTCAAAATTCCCGTGACCAATGTCAAATTAAAACGTTAAAATCATACTTAAAAGTTCATTTCAGTCATTTTTTATAAAATAATCACGTTTTGCGTTAAATGCTGGCGAATATTCTTGTATGAGTGTGCTTAAATTCGTACCCTGCTTCATTTTCCATTCAATCTAAAAAAGCAAACATAGAGAACTTTCCTAAGTTTTCTAGGAAAAAATATTTTATCGGGAGAAACGAGGCAACGTTGGAATGTCCATACGGTGTTGAAAGACAACATAGGCCTTTTAAGCCTCGTTATCCCATGCCGCGATTATTTAAATGCAAATTCGAATAATCGCGCCGAACACAGCGCGGCCGGCGTTAAACGCATATTAGCGCCTGCAAAACTCAAGGAATACTTCTCGTATTGCGCCAAACGCAGTGCAATCGGTCAGTTGGCGCGGAACGCGTTGTCGTTGAACCCGTGCTCCCTTCTGATTGGTGCCGGATGCGTTTTTAATGTGCGCATCGTATTCTAGGCATCATTTATCCACGGAAAAATGTATTCGCGAGTCAAAGTTCGTTCATGGTATCGTAACCCATTCACAAGTCTCTCGGCCTCAGGAAAACTGAACAATGCACAGTTATACCCCCATCTCTTCAGCGAAATGGGTATATTGCATTTGACTGGAGCCTAAAAAAATGTAAAATAACTGAATGATCAAGATACACGCAACAGAAAGGTCTAAATTATTTTTTTAACTTCATACTTTGCTCTTAACTTCCCTTATTTCAAAGGCAACTTAGTTTCTTCCAGTGTAAATATATTAAAATACATGCACTGAGACAAAACCATTATTTGATTTAGCTGAGCCAACTAGGTTCCACATTCCACAACTGCACCCAAAGCTTGAAATACCCGCCGTGATGGGTCGCAGGTTTCCACATGAAAACAAATAACTAAGGAAATCCTGCTCGTTGATTTTAACGTTTAACGTCCAAAACAAGAAAGTGAAGATGTCAGATGCCTGACGGTTGTTATTTGATTAGTTTTCAATTAAAAAACTACAACAGATGATGGCAACCATTTTGTGTTTCACTCTGGTACTGACCCGAAATTCTCGGTCTCCATTTTATCTACTAAGCAATGGCGAGGCGTGAATGATCGATATCTACCCATTTGAAGCTGTGGTACAGAATCGATCATTAAGGTTTTCGTGGCGTAAGGTGTTCGTTAATGACGTATGAATCGATATCTCGCAATGCACTTCATGCCACTGCTACTAAGCCTTTCGAATGCGAGTATTACCGAAAAATATTTTACGCACATGGAGAAAAAACTTGGTGCGTGGGACCCAAAGTTTATGTCATATGGATCTCCGAAGTTTTCGGATTGGGCATCCGAACACTTAAGGTCCAGCTGCTGAGGTTTGCATCACGCATCTGAAAAACTTGGGTTCTCACATCTGAAGTACTTGAGATGTAAGAAGTGAAGTTTCAGATGTGTGATCCGAACCTCGACAGCTAGACCTAAAGTGTTGAGATGCTCAATCTGAAAACTTCAGAGATCCATATGACCTAAACTTGGGGTCCCACGCACGAGATTTCTTTCTCCATGCATGGTAATGAAATTGACGGAATCTCTCCCGTGCTTTAAGCACGAAACTAGAGTCCATAAGTCTAAAGCCTGCTCAAAGGAATCACTCTTTGCTTGGGGTCCATGCGTTTAAGTATGAGGAAATCTCTGCCGTGCTAAGGAAAAACGCTGTGTGAACATTGAAGAGTTGCCAAATTTCCTTCAATAAAATGTTTATTTTTGAGGAAAGTTATGAATATTTTTCTTTTGAATTTTCAGAATCATTAGGTAAAATTGCGGACAAAATTATCCGAAAAATTGGGATGAGAATATTCATAAGTTTACCTGGAAATTAGTGTTTCATCAAAGAAAATTTGGCGACGCCTGAAAGTTCATAGGGTGTTTTCCGTTAGCACGGCAGATCTGAGCGCGGATGAACATCTGAAGATCTCGAATAGAGCACGTAGCTTCCTTTGCAAGAGAGCACGCTTAATGATCCTTTTCAAGGGTGCCCGAGTCTGGCGACCGCATCATTTGAGTCATTCAGTTATTCGCAAAGAGGTTCCAGGGTAAGCTGAACGTAAGCTCATTTGCATGAGCGGGCCCGAGGCGAGTCCTTCCTCTTCCGAGCAGCGCAAATTCGCAAATGTTCCTTGAGAAAGGAACGCAGGACGCCTCCTGCGTATGAAATTCTTGAAACTTACGTTGCCGATTTTGAGGAGGACGCATTGCTTTCCTTATAAAATTTCAATCCTGTAAGTGTGTACGTAGCTATCATTCGGACGTGATTCTGCCAAACGGAACTTGTGTAATATGACGTGAGCCCTGATATGCATATACTCTAATGGGTCTCAAGGCTCATGTCACAATGCACATAGTTCCGTTTGGAAGAAATGCGTTCATTTGAAATATGGCATCACGGAGTGTCCAACTAATAATATTCCATAGCTACCTCGGGAAGTTGGTTTGTTGTGAATGAGATCAACTTAGATATTTGCCAAAGGCAAAGAAATAGCATTTACGAGAAATGTTGAAAGGAATAGTGCGGTGAATAGTTTGAGAGGGCGAGATATCAAAATAAAATGTACGCATATATGTAGATGTTTTGCCAGTATCTTGCCCCGACTGGATGGTTGATTTTGATCATCATGATTTATAAAGAAATTTATAAATATGTGAAGAGTTGGTATTAATTAGTTGATGACATACAGTGCACTGAAAAAAAAACTCCGGCCGTGGGAGCCGCAATTACGGTCTACATAGACATACCGTCCGTTCCGGGCTCAAAGGCCGAAAATTCCGGCTGCTGGAGCCGTAGCTTCGGCCTCTGAACCCGGAGCAATCGAAGCTACGCCTCCAGCAGTCGGAATTTTCGGCCTTTGAGCCCGGAACGGACGGTATGTCTATATAGCCCGTAATTGCGGCTCCCACGGCCGGAGTTTTTTTTCAGTGTGTGACTTCGTCTTGTACGTCCTCATTACGTTAATGGAACATATGTATATTAAAAGTAATTATCTTTACTGTAACCTAGGTCTTGGGATACATAAGAGTACATTTCACAACTGAGATAGTTCATTTTGCTTTAAATACGCTTAGTTCCTCAAGAAAAAAAAATTAATTTACTTACATGCTGAAATCCGGTAAGCGTTACTTTCCTAAAAGTTTAGCCTCAGTGGTGTAATGGTCAAGGCAGTTCGCAACCAGCACTGAGGTCCCGGGTTCAATCCCCGGAGGCGACTAATATTTGAGAACCAAAGGGTGAATCCAAATATCAGTCATCGTGACCGTGCCACTCTAATTCCCTGACCCTTTGAGGTAACAGGGCGCGGGAGGGACATAGTCACCGATGGTAAGTAATCCGTCTGCACCAGTGATCTGCCTTCCCATAAAATTTTAGGAGCCACCTTGGCCGGAAAGCCCAATTTTTAGGAGCCATCTACTATTTTTTAGGCGCCAAATAAAATTTTCACACACGGTCCATGGCGATGCTGCGAGGGGTGCATATGGAGAGCTCTTCATCGTTACCGCTGCTTCCCGATAGTGAGTTCAATTTGTCAATTTTTTTAGGCGCCACGATGGCCCAGCCCCTCCCCTCCCCCAGGCGCCAAGGCCAGATTTTTAGGCGCATTTGGCGCATGGCGCCCGGGAAAGGCAGAGCACTGGTCTGGACTATTCGGCTGGATTGTGAAAAAAATCGGTGATCACTCGTAGTGTGCGCGACTGCCAGTGTTACCTTTCAGTGGAGATTTCAACAACTCAGTCCAACTCGTAGAGGCATGGGTGTGCTCCGAAAATTCGTGCTCTGCAGCGTCTGCCATATAGTCTTCGATAAGACCTACCGTTGGCTATCAGACGCCTGAACCTTGCGGGAATATAGAGGATACACCATGTGTCAACAGTACGAAGTTAATAAGGAGCACGGTCCAACTTTGGGGTGCACGACGGCAGGGCCCATGCCAGTTGCCTTGGCCCCTTGGGGGCGTCTCGCCCGTCAGCCCGGCCCTTACTTACTTAAACACTTACTTACTTACTTACTTACCTAAAAGTAAAGAGACACGGCAATCGGTCATTATTGACCATATTGTTTGGCAGGTTAGGATGGTACATGACATCTCGGTAATTAAATGATTAGGAAAGACTTTTTTTGGCAAATTCCAGATTTAACTTACCGAAGGGAATATGTGATTTTATGGATAGGCCTAAAACAGCAGCTCCTTATGGCAAAATGTAGTCCACCACTGACGGCGTATTGATCATAGAGAGGCTAACTATTTGACCTTCTGATCTATTCTCCCTTGTCAAGTGAAAACGCCGTATGAACATTCGAGAGTTGCTAAATTAACTTCGATGAAATGTTCTTTTTTGAGGAGAGTTGTGAATATTTTCCCTTGATAATTTCAGAATATTTAGATCTGGTTGCGAATGAAAATCTCTGAAAAATCGTGAGATATTTAGATAAGGAGCTTCACTCTTTATCTAAATTGCGCTCATTATTTTTTTGATAAACGTCAAACTCGAACGCTCATTTTTATCGAGGTTCAATCTATTCCTGCCGGGAGCCTCGGCCTGGCGGGATCTCATTCCCTTGCTTACTTCGACTTCGGACTCAGCTCCTACTGCTCTTGTTCTCTCTCTTGATTTTCAACCCTGGCTACTTTTGGACTTACGATTTTTGTGGACTTTGGAAAACCCCGGACATCTCGGTGAATCGTCGAAAGACCTTTCTTATTCTTTTGATAGCTTGTCATATTAGACGTTTTCAAATTTCTTTTTCAAAATTTGTAATTCTTCACTTTTTTCAAAATTCGTAACTTTTCAAATTTTCTCAAAATTTTTTAAGTAATAAACCTTGTAAAACGCCAATATTCTTGTGTTATTCAATTTGAAAGAAATCCCGATCGTGATACCCGTAAAAAGCATGAATGTTTAAATTTTTAAATTTTTATTTTCAATCAGTTTTCTGATTCTGCTCTCCCACACTGTTTCAGTATTTGTAGTTGTCAAAATACTTTGTTTTTCACTCCAAGGGTGAATCACGGGGTATTTCGTCAAATACATCTTATTAACCGCTCCTCCAGTGATCGACTTGATTTTTATAAGAGTAAATATTAATTTTTTATAGAATTACGTCTTATAGAAATCGAGTCCATCTTTGAAGGAAGGGTGACCTTTCCCTTATAGGGGTGGCCATCACAATCGGGGGAAAAAACGTCCCTATAAATTCGTATTTTATCCAAGGAAATTTGGCAACGTTTGACGGCCCATACGACGTTCTCCCTTAGCAGGGCAGTATTTTCATTTGATTCGGTGCATTCTTTGAGGATGAATTGTGGATTGGGATTTCAGAACCGAGGAAAGAGGCTGCAGGAGGGTGCGCATATCAACAGGTCCCTTCTGGCGCTAGGGAACTGCATCAATGCGCTGAGCGGTGGCGGTGGAGGCGGGGGTCGCTACGTGAACTACAGGGATTCCAAGTTGACGCGGCTTCTGCGAGAACCGTTGAGCGGCAACTGCCGGACAGTTATGATCGCTCACGTAAGTCCAGCCTTGAGCCACCGAGAGGAGACCAGGAACACCCTCGTCTACGCTGCCAGAGCTAGCGGTATTACCCACAAGGTACCCAGTCACCAAGAAAATAAATCTTCCTCCCACGTCCTGATAACGTCACCTTCTAGCCAAAGTATCACAAGCGTCATGCGACGTTTCAAAATTTCCGCCACCATTTCATTTTTTTCAGAAAAATTGTTGGTTGAATCTATTTGGAAAGTTCACTAAATTTGGCAGCACGAAGAAAATTCAGTGAAAAGAGCCGTATGCAAAAACGACATTTTTCGCCCCCCCACTAAAACTTATTCAAACTTCGTCTATCAGTTACTAATACTGGAGCGCTTCTTTCCCCAAATTTTCAGACCCCCAAAAAATTTGGGGGGGGCGCTAGGGGGGGTGGAAGTCAAAACCCGGGACCCTCGATATCTTTCGAACGAAACAAGATATTGAGACCCGGTTTGGACGAAGAATCGTCTAAAATTTCAAACTATAAGAGTCTAAAGGTCAAAATCCCACAATTAAATTTTTAACTTAACTTATGTGTTTTTTTTCAGTTTTTGAGGAAAAACGATTTCTTTTAAACAGATTAAACTGAAATTTCACATTTTTTGATTTGAACCAAAACCAGTTTTTTAAAATGTTCGTCTTTTTCCGCATCCAACGAGTGGTCGTATAAGCTGGGGAACCGAACGGTTCCGGAGTTATGATCAATTGAAGTTTCCACTCAACGCGCGCAAAAAAGTCGGATTTGACTGTTATTAAATCAGATTTAATGTTCAAACTGAGCAAAATGCATTATTAGGGACTCTTGAGGGTCGCTGAGTCCAGAAATTACAGATACTTCCAAAAAATTCACGTTTTTAAAATTACAGCTCCGTACAGGACCACTGAGCGGCCGGTTGGCGCTCAGTGGGCCTCTAAAATAGCGCTACGGAGCTGTAATTTTAAAAACGTGAATTTTTTGGAAGTATCTGTAATTTCTGGACTCAGCGACCCTCAAGAGTCCCTAATAATGCATTTTGCTCAGTTTGAACATTAAATCTGATTTAATAACAGTCAAATCCGACTTTTTTGCGCGCGAAAATCGGTCGGCGCGCGTTGAGCGGAAACTTCAATCGATCATAACTCAGGAACCGTTCGGTTCCCCAGCTTATACGACCACTCGTTGGATGCGGAAAAAGACGAACATTTTAAAAAACTGGTTTTGGTTCAAATCAAAAAATGTGAAATTTCAGTTTAATCTGTTTAAAAGAAATCGTTTTTCCTCAAAAACTGAAAAAAAACACATAAGTTAAGTTAAAAATTTAATTGTGGGATTTTGACCTTTAGACTCTTATAGTTTGCAATTTTAGACGATTCTTCGTCCAAACCGGGCCTCAATATCTTGTTTCGTTCGAAAGATATCGAGGGTCCCGGGTTTTGACTTCCACCCCCCCTAGCGCCCCCCCCAAAATTTTTTGGGGGTCTGAAAATTTGGGGAAAGAAGCGCTCTAGTATTAGTAACTGATAGACGAAGTTTGAATAAGTTTTAGTGGGGTTGGGCGAAAAATGTCGTTTTTGCATACGGCTCTTTCCGGGCAGCTTTGTTGACAAATTTTTCTGTTAAAAAATTAAAACGGCGGAAAAAAGTTTGAAACTCCACATGACGCTTGTGACTTTAGCCAGAAGGTGACCATAAATTCAATACAAAATTCTCAGTTCAAAAGGATGTATCCTTGGACCTGCGAACCGACCCTTTTGATTGACAAAACTGAAATTTGGTTAATAATATAATGCAGTCAGTTCCCATGAAAATGGTCTGTACGCCATACCACTGCTGTGAACCGCAATTTCAGTTCAATGCCATAGTCTCAATCTACCAGACTAAAACATTTCGGAGAAAACAGAACTCGATCCTGTATATCGACAAAATTGGTTCACCTTTTAATAATAATCTTTCATGCAAATCAATGCTGGAGAATAAGGCACTGGATGCGAAAAGGGCACTTCTCGGTTGCAGTGTTTCAGAGTCTCTTCTAATATTCCATTCATTGTAAAGAAAGTGAATGCATCTATTTCACTAACAATCTTACTCAATATTCCTAATGACTCTATAATTTTCTATGGAAAGAATTCTGGAAAAATCACCCATTAAATTCTTCTCCAAGAGATAAATTAGCAACAGAGATTCTGAAACTTTGCAATCGAGAAGTGCCCTTTTCGCATCTATTGCCTCGATTGTACATGAACAGGTCGTCTCTGCCGACTAATGGAGCGTGCATTTCATAATCCGTATTTGTTTCAATCCAACCGACCTTATATCTAACTGAGAGTTAACGAAGGAGCTAAATTGTGATACGACTATTTCAACTCTTAAGGATATGCGTGTAACATACCTGAGGAAATGAAGGCAAGATGCGAGCAGTAAAAATGCTCTTCAGGTACCATTTTTGCAGGAGTGTAGGGTGATGTCCATTTCAATGTAGACAATTTTGAAGTAAGTTGCCTCAATCATGATCCATTATTCAGAATCTTCCTTTTCGGTTATTCTCCTTCATTCTTGAATTCTCTCTTCGATAAGTCCTGATGATGGCCAAGACCAAACAGCTTCGACAAGTCAAATAAATACTTCATATTCATGTTAATGTGAGTTAACAACTTCATCGTAACCCATAGAATTAGCTGCCTAACAAAACAAAAAGTATTCAGAACAGATTTAAGAAGAGAGAAAACAGCGTTTTCAGTTTGCAATAATTGCCCTCTAAACATAAACGCCCTCAGATTTCGACTTATCAAGGTGCAAGTCAAAAACGCGTAAATTTTGTGCAACGTTTAAGGACATCATATCCTGTTTCATTTTAAAAGCATTAATTTCAAAAAAATAGAATACAAAAAAATGAACATTTGTTCACAATATTTTTAAATGCGCAAGGAAACTTTACTGGAAAAGAATATTTTGGTTTTTTCTTTTTTCTTTAGAAGAATCAAAACATGGGCGGGCATTTATTACTGCAGCATCCAAGGTGCGCATTTTCCAACTTTAATGCGCAACAATCTTTTTACAATTGTTTTCCAAGTTTCTAACTTCAAATGGTTCGCTTCCGACGACGCAGGTGGAGAAGAACGAGTTGGATATCTCGTTCCACGTTTCGCAGTATCGTTCGATGATCGCGGACCTCCGAAACGAGATCTCTCGGCTGCGGAACAAGATGGAAGAGAAGGATGCCTGCCCACAGGAACATTGTTCACCAAATGACAAACTAGAAGTAAACGGATGCCCGCAGCAAGCCAAAAGGAGTGGCAGCAGCCAATCAGTCAAACAACTTCGTGAACAGATCGTGGCCACGTTCCGGGAGCAGGTTAGAGGTTTTAGAAATCAGTAAGAAAACATTCATACCAATTTATCAACTCTTAGAGACGCATATTGCATAGCCATTTAAATCAAGTCCACGCTAATTATTTTGCTGTAACTTTAGCACTTTTAGAATGTGATGCTTGATCACCAACCTTTAGACTAGCATCGAGAAGTAAAATTAAATATACAAGAATCATCATAGCGTATCCACTGTGTCACTCTATGAGAATGCGTACAAGCTTATTTAGCGTGGACTTGAGAACAATTCCAAAAGTCGCTCGTTACTCTCAAGTGTGATGCCAAACGTATTGTGACTTGACGGATTTTACCGTAAAATTTCAGATGAAGCTAAGACGTCGGTTAATGGACATAGACGGCCACTTGCTGTCACTGGGTGTTGAAGCTGAGAGACAGCATCAAATCATTAGCCAATGGGAGTCTAGAAACAACAAGCTCTACCGAAGACAATCCAGTCATAAGTGGCGTAACAGACCTAGCACCACGTCTTTCAATGACGTTGACGATGGTAAGTCCAAAATCAGTTCAATACCGATGACAAATCTAAGAGCTTTTGCTAGCTCTAGGAATGAATTTCCAGTTAAAGGAAATATAATTTGAAAGTATTCTTACTTGTTGCACCTTTAGCAAGGTTTGCTTCTGAGGCTACATTTTTCTTCAATAACGCAGACACGCAAAAATTGGTGCTTGGGAACCGCAATTGTTTTACGCAAATATTTTATATGTATGAATGCCCCCTGAATACTGGGTATGCAATGCAACGCGATGCTGATCGATAGTTTATGATACTGCCAGCTCTTTTTGTTTCCATTCCTAGCGATATCATTCATTGGACTGCATTGACCAAAATCCTATTTCGTATATTGTCTAATTTTCTATCGTGATGTACTGGTCCATAAATCTAAGCTACATTCTTCTTTGAAATACATTATGTTCAAATTCCTCAATATAATTTGGAAGAAATTTAAAGAGAGTGGAAAAGTATTATGTTGCTTAGTTTACAAGTAAAAGCTATAGCATGATACAAAATTGGGCACATGTGATACAGTAAGGATATGATTCTGGTTAAATCCATCGAAATAATTAGTTAGTTAGTTAATTTATATTTAGACATTCAGCATCTTAGGCTCATTTATGAGAGTAAGTACATACATACTTACACACATGGCATAACAGCAACTTTCTACGTTCAATATTAGCCGAGATATCGCCCTTTAAAAATCGGGTTTTGGACGTCATCCACCACATTAATGACACCCTTGGTTTCTTCTACCTTGCTTTCATCAGTCAGTCTGACGCACATTTGCACTGACTGACTGGTCAACGTGGAACTCGGATAAAAGCAAGGTGTAAGAAACCAAGGGTGTCATTACCGCGGTGGATGACGTCAAGAACCCCACTTTTCGAAGAGCGATGTCTCGGCTAATATTGGACGTAGAAAGTTACTGTTTAGACATATATCCTTTTATTTGTTGCTAATCTGTCAGGCAGAATGAAGGATGAAAAGAGGATTTTGTGAGCAGCGCAACTAAGCCACTGCAATGTTGAGCCTAATAAAGCGGAGTATGGTGTAAGAATGTGTTTGATTTGTGCAGAAATGTGGAACGACCATGAGGAGCTGAATATGCACCAGGCCTGGTCGGAGCTGAGCTACATCGAGCGGGAGCAAGAGCGGTACATCAACATCCGATCGGAGACGGTCAAGGAGCTGGACGCGGTGCGACACCGAGCCGTCGCTCTCGAGAACGACCTCCCCAAACGACTCGACTCCGACACCGAGCGAGAGCTCCTCAGTCTCTTGTGCAGGTAACCACCAACTACTCAAGAAAAATAAGCAACAAGTCCTCCATTCACATCCTGCCTCTAGATGAAGCATCCATCAAATAAAGCTCTCCCATCCCATACGTATTGGCCACCATAGAGTACATAGACTTGTAATGTAAATGGGAGAGCTGGCGCCATGTTCTGCTCGACGAATTCCGAGCCCGGTGTGCGCCGAGTTCGGGTCGCTTTTTCGATACATTTTCGATCCAAAATGGCGGTGTGGAATACGTGGTATTTCCTATCTCCTTTGTTGTTGTTGTTGTTGTTGTTGTTGTTGTTGTTGTTGTTGTTGTTGTCATCGGATGGCCGGGTACCCGTGTATCGCAAACAATCGATTATGTATCGATAAAGTGACCCGGCGTCACACAGGAGTCTCGGAATTCGGGACATGGAAAATGCTTAAAAGTGGCGCCAGCTCTCCCACTTACATAACGACTCTATGCACTCTATGTTGGCCACACGCAAACATCCAATTGCTCAATTAACAATTCAATTCATCAAAATATTTCCGATATGTTTCAAATGTACATTTTACAACAGTGGAAAACTAATTTAATCAAGGGGGTGCTTCAATTAGCATTTTTCATTGTAAAATCTATATTGAAACATGTTGGACACTCTTGTTAATTACAAAATTGTTAAATTAGTAATTTCATTTTTTCCGTGGGTGTCTAAAATTTTAAGAATTTCACGTATAAGAAGAAACTGCTGAGCGTACCGAGCAAGAGAAAAAACTTGATTTCTTAAATGACTAATCATTGGAGGAAATTGGACCAAATGACCTAATCTGCTATAAAATATGCATTTAAATGGGAAATGCCGTCTGATGACGCCACAAACCGGCAGGTTTCCTTATTTTAAAATCTATTTTTCTAGCTTTCCTAAATAATTTTATTTTTAAAAATACTGCAAACGCAGCTTGTTAAGCACTCTGAAATGCAACAATCGATTTTTTCTCTTATGTAGAGCAAGTTTTCAGGTCCTAACTGCAAAATTAACGATTAAGCAGCAACAAACCCAGTTAACGTATCCTCATTACAGGGTTCACGAGCTGGAGGCGGACAAAATGGCTCTGCAGGGGGAGCGGTTGGTTGAGTCGCACGAACTGCGGAGACGGGGTGAGCTGCTACTGCGGTTTCATCGTCAACAGCGCCTCACCGATGACATCATCACCCGCCAACGGCAACTCATCGAGGACTCCCGGATCGGGCTTCCCAACGACCTCCACGAGCTGTACTCTCTCTACCAGCAGGAGATCCACGCCGCCACCGCCTCCTCTGCCTACAATGTCGACACTGCCGGCGTCCCCTACTCCGCCTACGACGCTCTTCCACCTCTCAACAAGGAGCCTGGTAGTGCCGCTAATCTGCCCCTAATTTCAAAATACAATCGTATCTCCTTATAGCTTTTCTCCGCATACAATGTGCGAGGGTCGTCCAGAAAGTAAGTTTACCTATTCGATATCTCCTAAACTAAGACAGATAAAGAATATCCGTAAAAAGCGTTGAAAAGCCACCACTCTCAGCTTTCTAATGCGCTATAGATTTTGAATTTGGCTCCATAGAACTCTACAGAAATGGATTTTTTTGAACCCACCTCCTCTTCGCTTGGGTTCAAAATTTCACGGAGCGCCATCAGCAAGTGAGCTGCTGTATCCATCGCTTATCGCAAAAAGTGCCCTAAAGATGGTTGAAAATCATGGAAAACATGAGGAAAAACATTTGTCAGCTCGAAAATTGCAGAGTTGACCGTGTTTACTTTAAAATTAGTTGTATCCTAACAAAGTTAACTGAATTTTCAGAGTTAACTCTCACTTACTGACTGAATTGTCCATGAGCCTTCACATTAAACCGCCTGTTCTTATGAAAATGTCGTCAAAGATGCATCGTCTTGAAAACTATGCCGCTTTTACAACATCGTCACTGTGAATTATCCTGAATTTGAGCAGCTTTGGTCACTTTTCTTGGTTAGAGGACCAATTATAGCGCGCAATTCACATACTGGAACCAAATTCAGCGTTCCAACTCCACGAGTTAACCAAAATTGTAGCGTAACTCTTTCACGTACTGCAGTCTAGACCCACTAATTATCGAATAACCCTGCAATTTCCCAGCTGACTAATGTTCTTCCTGATGTTTTGAATGATTTTTAACCATCCTCAAGCCACTTTTTTGCGATAAGCGTTAGATACAGCAGCTCACTTGCTGATGGCGCTCCGTGAAATTTTGGACCCAAGCGGAGAGGAGGTGGGTTTAGAAAAATCCATTTCTCTGGAGTTCTATTGAACCAAATTAAAACTGTAGGGAAAAGGGGGGAATGGGAAGGAAATAAGGACATCACTATTATCGGGGTCAGAAGAGCGTGTATGAATGTGAGAGAGGATCCGAAAGACAAGTGGTGGTGCGTAACCATAGATACATACAAGAGATATATACATGATACAGTCAAAATCGTGCAGGGAATCTATAGCGCGTTAGAAAGCTGAGAGTAGTGGCTTTTCAACGATTTTTACGGATATTTTTTATCTGTCTTAGTTTAGGAGATACTGAATAGGTAAACTTACTTTCTGGACGTTCCTCGTACATTGTTTCAAGTCCCAACCAGTTTGTTCTAAGAATAGCGATTATCCAAGTAACGTCTTTCTGGAATTAACATTCTACATTCAATTCCCCGTCGGAAATGTTTTAACAAGATATGACTATACTGTTTCATATTTTCTGCACATATTCTCATTTTTTCTGTGCTCAGTAATTTTTGTAGTGACACAGCATTTGAATCCCTTGCGAGGATGAATGTTCTAAGAATATATATATGTTTGAAGAAGAATTGCATTATAGATTCGTAGAAATTTTCCTTTCAACGAAACTCTCTTAAAGGCATTTTTAAACCTCTCTTTATTACAATATAAACCATATCGATGGCCACAGTGCGAGCCCACGCATCTCCTTTTGCGACGTGGAAGACTCTCTATCATACTAAATTGTTCCTTGAAAAACTAGTCAACGTAATCTCCTGAAAATCTCCTTGATTTTTAATCTCACTTATCAGAATATGCTGCTGATACAAGCTATAATGTTAACTTGTTTCTCCTCGAAAAAATGAACTCGGAGCGGATATATTAAATCATCGCAATGGAAATACGTAGTTTCCTACTTTACACATGAGACACTTACTTACTTTGTCGACATGAGACATTCCTGAAGAAATAAACCATTTTAGGAACGACTAGGCAAACGGTCCCGACAATATAAGCAAAGCGGGTCGTCCCTAAGAAAGGATTTGCTTGAGAAACGACTGTTAATACTGCCTTGATAGCGAGGAGAGCAGTAAGTGTCAAATTTTTGAAAGGGAGTTTCCTTTACAATTCGTCTAATTTTTTTTAGATGAAATCGCTAAAATAGCTAAAACAGCAAATGTCATCTTAATTTATAAAAACGAGACATGCGAGGAATCCGTAAGTGCGCAAAAAATGACGTTGTTCAAGCAGTAAATGAAATTTTTCCTCAAGAAAATCAACTAAAGCAGTGCTTTCGAGTAAGCCAGGGTTCTGCCTGTTTCTAACCTGAAAACGTGTTTTTTGTGTGTCCAAAACGCAACCACGAAAGTATGCAAAAGATGACACTTACGACTGTCTTGCCTGGTAATAGCCTAGTATGAACATTAAAAATACCCTTTTCATGTTATTGAAATAAAATCTGTCGATTTTTAATCAGCCAAACTATATCTGGGAGTCTCTTGGGTGATTAGTGGCAATTTGACAAAGTACGGAGGCTTCCTTCAATACAATTTTCCGGTCAGACACTTTAGAGCCCGTTTTCTCAAAACTGCATTTTTGCACTTACTGCTCTCTTCGTTATTACGACTGAATGCGGCCTTGAGGTGAGCATTGACGATATATTTTGTATTTTCTGTATCAGTTCCTGTCCAGTCGGCGAGGAACGGCGAGAGACCCTCAGGAGCATCTAGAGCCGGCCGGGAGCGGCAGAATGGACACGCTACGTCGAACAACGGTCTTCCGCTCCTAAACGAGGGCCGCTTCATGCCGGTCTACCGGAGTAGCTTGGAAGAAGACACACCCCCTGATCGGAGCTCTCCACCTATCCCGACGCACATGAATGAGTGGCAACGAGAACGCTACTTGAAGCAGCAACATCAGCAGCAGCAGCAGTATCAACAGCAGCAGCGGCAACAGCAGTATCAACAGCAGCAGCGGCAACAGCATAGCCAACAGGGTAGCCGCCACCCTAATGGCGCCCAGAATGGAAACTCCAAAGATCCCTTACGACCCTCCCCTGCACCCCCATCCATGCTCTTCCCGCCGATATCCGATCACTTCACTGGTCACTGACAGGAGGTTCTCATCTGAATCTCAAACGCTTGTGTTCACTATTCTCACGTGCCGAGGAACAACGCCGTATGATTCTTTAGATGTTGCCACATTTACTTCAATAAAAACTGAATTTACTCGGAATATTTCCAATATTTTTCCTTACATTTTTCAGACAATTTTGTTCGTAATTTGATCTAAAATGTCTGAATATCTCAAGGAGAAATATTTATCATTTTCCTCGAAAATACATGTTTTTTCCGGGAAAATTTGACAACTTTCGAATGTTCTTACGGCGTTTTTCCTTACGGCGCGACAATATTCTGCCGAGATGAGGAAAAACGCCGTAAAAAATTCGGATACTGGCAAATTTTGTTTGGTAAAATAAAAATAAAAAAAGACATCTTTTCGCAAATTTCTGTGAGATATCTGAAATATTCAAGGAAAATATTCATAACTTTTCTTTTGAAAAATCAGTAGGTATTGAATCTAGGGAAATTTGGCAACAGGCCAATGCTCATATGACGTTCCTCCTCATCACGGCAGAATTAATGACGAATCGAAAATTTGACTGAGCAAGCAGCATAAAGTTGAAGTCAGATTTATTTTGAATATGCCGAACTGCCAACCAGACAAGGTAGAATCAAATATATTGGTATTGAATACAACCTTTATCAGTTCAATAAAACCTCTTTTAAGGCGCCACCCATATTACTGAATTCATTTGAAAAATTGTCGTAGAAATTTACAAATCTACAACAAATTGCGCGCCAATCTTAGCGCTTGTTCACAACAATTGTTTGTATTCGTCGAATTTTTCTGTATATTATTTTAGCCTCCTAGCATGTAGTCTCTTACGCTTGACCCAACACATAAATATTTGAATTATTTAGAAAACATAAATAGTCCGATTATTACGTATCTTATGTAGGCGTTCATCCAGTTCCATTTCTCGTATGTGTATGATAAACATCTGTGCTGACGAACTTTTTAAACGAGATCACGTGCAATTTTCTCAAGAAAATCTTAGTTTACTGATAAATTTCCAAAATAATAATTATTGTACATTCTCTTTATACAAATGGGTCACGTTACTTGGAAATCATTTAAACTCTTACTACCTGCTAAAAAGATCCATTGAACCTAGCTTGTTCCATGAAAAAAATATAGTTCCCTAATCATAGTTATCCTATTCAAATATACCTTTTGGATGATGTAGGGAACGCTCATCGGACGGATGGAACTGTAATTAGGCTAACCGTATCAAGCGTTGCCTGATTTTTCTTCGCAATTTATTTTTTGAATAGAGAATTAAAAAAACATTCCTAGTTGCTATTTTTGGATAAATACTTGTGTAATTTATAGGAGATTCACAAATAGTCTCGGAGTTTCATGCTTTTTAGTACATTTACCCTTTGAATAAAGTCAATAATGTAGAGGATAGTAAGCGACGTGAAATTCAGTCAGGCTAATACTGGTTATATCTTATTGCCAGTTAATGGGAGATAATTTATGTGCTTGAAAGAAGTGTTGAGTTAATGAAAAGTACAAACACTATTTTGAGTTGTAGGTATCACCGGATATGAATCTAAAGTCAATGTGATGAATGACATAATATCAGACAAAAACCCATGTTACCATATTAGTTACCATTACTACGTTAAAATATCATATTTTTTACCTTAAAAAACGTTATTTGTGTAGTAGACACCATCGTTAAAAAGTTTATACAAAAAAGTGCAAATTTTATACAATAAAGTTTTCTTTTGTAGTGCTTGTTTTCATTCTTTCATTGTTTCCGTCATTAATGGATCCGAGTCGGCATACTGAAGAATCTCTAGGGTAGGAAACATAGGGTAGAGTTATCACTGATAAAAGTGTCACAATTTCAGTCTCAAACACCTGTGATGAAGAGCGCGCCCATGTCAAGGGATATATTAACTGAGGGTAAATTGACTTTTCAAATGAACAGGCGATAAACAAACCTTGATTGCAGGGATAGATACATTGATAATCCAATACAGCACTTTCGGTCACGTCTGCCATCTTTGATACTGTAATCTTGAACAGACGAGGAATTCAAGTTTCCCGTTGAAAAATACCTCCTGATATCATTCGGGTGTCACAAAAATTGATTCAACGGGAAATGAAATAACAATTTAGACCACGTCCACCATTCTAGATTTTGGAAATTTGACCTAAGACATTTGATATCCAAAATCTAAACTCAAATTTACATTCCTTGTTGAAAAGCAATGCCATTTCATGTATCATACGTTAGCAAAGCATGATGAAGAGAGGCTGAACGTGGGCGGACTGTGCCTAACAGATTAATTCAACACGGGGCCAACTACTGGGGGAGTGGGTCAGCAGAGCAGGAAGGAGAATAAGATTATCTGCTCAGAATTCATCCCTCTTTTCTATGCCGCGAGCTTCTCGGAATCTGCTGGCGCCGGCGATTGACGACTGGACTGTCGTGCTAAGGAAATCGCCGTATGACGTATTAGCCTTTAGGCATTGCTGAATTTTCTCCGATAAAATACGATTTTTGAATATTTTCCTTAGAATCTTCTAGAAAATTTTGTACACAATTTAATCTAAAATATCTAAAAATTTCAAAGCAAAATGTGCACAACTTACCTAAAAAATATTTGTACATGTGTTATTCGGGGAAATTTGGAGACGCTCGCATGTGCATACAGCGTTTTTCCTTAGCACGACAGTGTACAGAGTAAGATATCGTCCCGGAGAATTTCACTGATATGTTTAAATAAGTATGCCTATGTTTCGCGTCATTCCTTCATGCTGCGATAGCGTATGACACATGAAAATGCATTTATTTTCAGGTAAAATTCGAATTTGCGCTTAGATCTCGGATACCACGCATTTCAATTTATTTGAAATTGTAGATAAAGTTAATTTCAGGGGTGTTCTTAAAGAACGTGGCCTAAAAACTATCAATGTTTGTTCGAATTTTCCACCGGAGTTTTGCCAAGTCTGTAAGATTTTCCAGTTTTATTCCTTTCACTGGGACTTCCGTTTCCCGGATGAATTTTCCAGATGAATTTGTATATGAATGAAAATTAAAACGCAACGGAAGAGGGTTTTTAGTAATAATATTCACATTGTACAAAATAAACCACTCATTTGCCTACAGATAAGAATAAAAATGAGCAAAGAATCAGTGCATGTGCGATCTGTGGAATGGATGAAGGTAAATACAAAATGAGCCCTTTAACACATTTGAAATCTTAGGGCCTGAGGTGAATAGCTACACTACTAGATGACGATTTGATGGTTATTTTACCAGTTGTTTCTCTCTGGGTTTTGAGACTCAGTTTCAGAAATTCTCGAAAAAAGAATATTCTTTGTTAGGTCAGTTACTAACAAATCCAAGAACCGCCCAAAAATGAACATTTCACCATGGGCTTTTTTAGTCATAAACTGAGAAGATTTAAAATCTTTAAAAACTGCACCTCCAAATTTCGATTTTCAAATTGCAAACTCCAACCCGTTATTAGGAAGATTGGACAAATTGGAGCGTTTCTTGAGCCGATACACTGAAAAAAAAAAAAAAAACTCCAGCCGTGGAAGCTGTACGTACAGGCTATATGGACATACCGTCCGCGTTCTGGGTTTAGAGGCCGAAAATTCCGGGCGTAGCACCCGGATCAATCGAAGCTATAGCTCGGCCTCTGAGCCCAGAAAGGACGGTGTGTCTGTATAGCCCGTAATTTCTTTCTTCGGTGTTTGCTCGTCTATCATTTTATGCAGTGGTAAACCAATACTTTAGTTTTGATCTTTTTTTGCACGCAAATACCTCTTGCCGAGGTTCTATCACATATTGAAGCATTAGCGAAACTACGTGCCAGATGTCTATAGAATCACCTTTCTTCCACCAAAAAATCCGCAGTTTTCATGTCACATAGACCAGCGGCACAGTCCATTTTTTCCGAAGAGGAAGCGCAGGGCGTTTTTTGAATTATCGATTATGTACGCTTCTTGACTTTAAAGCTATCCTCCTCGTTGAAAAACGTGTTCATCTTTGGTTCCGTCAAGGAGCGATGCAAACAGAGACAGTGGATTTCAGAGACCTGTCAATCCTATCTCCCTCATATATATGTGTTCGTTACGAGCATTTAACGAAGTCAAACTCAGATAAACCTAACGAGAGCTGATGCTCAGATGACCAGAGTGCTCAGGAAAATCTGCAGCAAACAAGCCTTAATTTGTCAAACTTGCCTTGCAAACTGCTCCGTCCGACATTCATCATTCATCGAGTGTCGAGCATAATACGCAGAGGAAACAAGACAATTTGACAAACAAGCACTACACACTACTCGATCCGACATTCATCTTTCATTGAGTGTTGAGCAGTCTGTCAAACAAAGAAGACCTCAGACCTTGTTTGACAAACTTGCATTGCAAACTACTAAATCTAACATTCCTCAGTCATCATTAGGTTGATCAAATACTCGAAAAATCGATCAAGAATCTTCACTAAACAAGGAAGGCTGTTGATCTCCAAAGTTAACTTGTGCCTCAGATGATGACACAGCTCAGATTGAAAGTGCGGGGTCTCTGAAAAATATTGTCTCCGGATACGGTGCGCTTATCGTCCGATGATGGTAGGCTGGTCAGCCATGGCGACCTCTTCAGAAGGAGCCTTGAGTCCTTTCCGCTTTTTCGAGTACCACATGAAGGCAATTCCAGCGACAATATTGAGGCCAAAACAGATCCAGGCCAGGACGAAGGAGTAGCCGTAGCTTTGCGTTGCCTGCCGCGGGTAGGCATACGGCAAGCTCTGCCGGATATGCGTAAGTGAGCTGATCAGCACCTCGATCACAACCAGTACCGTCAGGGCTGCAAAAGAACAAATAACTTGATTAACATGATGTTGGAGTTTTTCCCAAACGTCCGTTAAAAATTCAGCACAAAGCTGATAATCTCAATACAGAGGGAAAAACTCCAAGATGCCGTCTTACCACCCGTGCGTCCACTGCAATCAGTTTGTGTAACTTGATTAAAATTGGTATAGTAATTCAGAGGTATGCAAGTATCGCATGGAAAAAAAATAAGTGTTGATTTAGCATTTAAATTGTGGAAGGATAGTCCATCAACTTTCAAATGCTGATTTTAAAGTTCAAAAATGCCAACGCAACATTTGACTTTGTTCGATTTGCTGTGAGCGTAGTTAAGGTAGCATTTTGTAAAATGTAAATCAGCATTTGAAACTTTTCGGACATTTTTTGTAACGATATATGTGCTACATCAACATGTAATTTTCTTCCGTGTATATGATAAGTATTGAACAAAAACTAATATGCAAGTAAAATAATATATTATCCTTCTCGGCCATATTCGATTTTATTGCGGCGGACAAGATCTAGACCAAAAATATCAAAAATCTTGAGTTGACATTCTCTCGTTTGTCTCAGACCGAATTGTTTATAGCTTTTAGTATTCCAAACCAAGAGATATATCTAGATTGGCGTTCCGTTACAGCAACATTGGGCATTTACATAGAATACACCCCACCACTTAATAGACGCCAAATCAACACACCATATTTCGGATATATTTAATTTTAATTAAAATATCCAGTCAACCCAGCTCTAATTCTAAACAAATTTCATGCGCCCTGATTGATTCTTACCTGAAATAAAATGAATACCACCGGCAAGCCTCTTGAACATGTACCGAGGATTTCTAAACGTGTAAATAGAGAACATGAAGCCCATTATCATGATACCAAGACTCACAATTGAAAAGATCATTTCAGTTCGAATGTAATCTAAAATCATACCAAAACATGAGTTATGTACTTTAGAATGCGAGTTTTAACAGCAATGAAAGACCTGACTACAGCATGAGCGTCTCTCTAGTTTGCGCGTATTTTTGCGCGTACTTTACGGGGAATCAGTCGGTAAAAAGGTGCGAATTAAAACATTCTGATACATGTTTTTTCACCAGAATATCACCTAACACGATTCTTGCATGAAAAATTACTGAAATCAACTCCAACTGCACTGCGTTTGCCGCAATGCGAGAAGTACTCATGCACTCTTATAAGCGCTAGTATGCGTTTTACGCCCACTGCACTGTTTGGCGCAATGCGTAAAGTATTCATCTAGTCTTGCAGGCGCTAGTATGCATTTAACGCTGGGCACACTGTGTTCGGCGCGATTATTTGAACTCGCGTTAGAATTATCGCGGCTTAGAAAAACGAGGCTTAAAAGGCCCGCGTTGTCTCTCCACGCCATATGGACATTCTAACGTTGCATTTTTTCTCCCGATAAATATTTTTTGCTTAAGTTCCTTACGTTCGTCCTTTTAGATTGAGTGGACCATTAAACAAAGTACCAATTTAAACACTCTCATACATGATTCCTCACCAAAATTTTACGTAGGATACGACTCGCGTATCGCAAATTACTAAATTGACTCCTAACTGAGATATTTACGTTTTTATTTCATATTGGTGACGGGAAATTTGAATTTCCCGGTCACAAGAAACGCAATATTCTTCGAGAGTCGAATCGCTCAATACAACAAAAGTGGCGGGTTTTTTTAATCAAAGAATCTTGCTTTTTCGCTTTGTGTTATTCAAAATGTTAACAACGTGCAAGAGTTAAGCTGAAACACCGGAATTGAGGTTGCCATATTTTCTTACCGCGGAGACTTTTACGGCAACATTTAGTGTGCGATCTGACTCAAGTAGACCATCGTGTTTTTATGAGCGAAAGGTTTGGATTCACGAGTCCAGAAACATGAAATCTTTTGGTTAAGAGTTATAATCAGTATTTTCCTTGCGCGAATCGTGTTTTACGTGAAATTTTGGTCAAGAAACATGTATCAAATTCTTAATCCCTATCTTCTAGTGGTAGATTCGGGGTCATGGTTGCCCCGACTTTGTTTTACTGAGTCCTCATGGCAACGGATTGCGTATTTTCCGAGCAAAACAAAAACAGAGCGCGCCAGAAACGCGTGATAAATTTGAAAGTGAAATATACAGCGACGCTTTCCGGCCTTCGATTTGAAGAATTCATTTTTTAAAACCGCTTTTGTGGCGGGCAGCCGCGCCTGCGACGTCATCCACTAATGGCCTCCCCGGCGCGGCGCATTTTGACATCACCGAGAGTACCGATTTGCGTGATAAAGAGGATCCGGAATGTTTATCTTCGGACCTCTTTCGGCGTCGAGAAAATACAAGATGAAATATTCTAATTTTATCCCTCCGGGAAGACAAAAGCTCTATCCGCTCGTCCGCTCTCGTCCGTCGCACAATGGATCGAGTCAATCAGAGAGATTGAACAAAATTTGGAAACTTTAAAAGCTCATTACTCTGTTTATATTCAGGTTTTGAAAGTAGTTCCATTGGTTTCCTCGTGAAATTCTCTCTAGATGCAACCCTTAAAATTTAAAACGTGACGATTTAAAAATCAAAATTTGCAGTTTTATTTAAACATCTTATGTAAGACCCTTCTCATTGACTCGATTTACTGTGCGTCGCCGAGCCGATGTTAAAAAGCGGGAAAATGAAAAGATCGGGGAAAGGAGGCGCCGGCGAAAAAATAAAATCTTGTAAATAACTCCGACCGATCGATTGATTTATGCTGCGGTTTTGCTTTGGTATTGTGTGTTTTTTCGCGCCTCGAGATGACGATTTGATTCACCTCGGATTTGATTTATGTATGTTCCTCCCCTTTCCCCGTTCAAATCTCCCATCTACTTTCCTCGTGGAGCCGTCGCTGCGGGGCCATGAAAACTTGAAATTTTCGAATCCGATCGGAATGATGAAGGTGGTGCTAGGAAAACCGGTCATATTAACATTGAGCTTTCTTTTAAAAGAGTATTTGTGTGCGGTGGAAGGATTTTGGTTGGATTTAGACCAGTGCTCTAATTCCATGACTGTCAAAAGTTCCGGGATACGGAACTTTTTTGTTCTGATTTTTTCCGTTTTACGACCAACAAAACTTCCGCAATTCTTCTTACATATTTTTAAAAGTTCCGAGAAAGTTTCGGAAAATGCAAAAGATCTGGAACATTTTGGGAATTTAAAAAAGTCCGGGATAAAATTCAGGAACATCTCAAAAGTTCCGAAATCCGTTACCAGTTTCAGGAAATGGGGTCACTAGACGCGTGTTTCAGGGGTTAACGTAATATTTTTGTCGCGGAGATTAGTTCCTAAAGTGCCCCTAATTTGAGCTGCGACCCTTTCAAAGCGGGAAAATCGCCATTTTTTCGACTTTTGAACAACTGTCGTGGATCTAAATTCATAAAAAATGACAAAATTACCTAATTGATAGCTACTCACTTATTAATGGTCTCGAAATTATAGGAATTTTAAGTTGAAGGGGGGTATTTGGGGGTCCAAGGGGGACTTGGTTTATCTTTGGACTATAATTTAGTTGATGATGTGAAGACCAAGATCTGACTTTCGCCTGGAAATAGAATTGCTTGGTGGATTGCTAGAATGGGCTTCTCTATACCACTTTTGAAGTGGTTCATTTTTTGCTCCTTCAAGTGCAACATCACGCTGTAGTGCGACAGGTATTTCTGCTCAAAGTTTGATAAAGAATAATGTTTAACTTGCTGTAAAATACATCCCGAGAGTATATCGCGAATCAAATTGCAAATATACATGCAAAATTCCCTCAGAACGTGCTCTCTGAGTTATTTTCAAAAATAACTCTTGGTCAAGTTTCAAGTACAAATGACTCAAGTACCACAAGGTGATGTGATGCTCGGAAATTCGTAAGAAATGTCCGAAGAACCAGAGTTTCATCGACTAACAAACCGTTGTCCGAAGTACTGAAGTACCATACTTTAGTGGCACGCAGGGGCAGGTGAAAAAATGGATCGTTATCGATAATGGTTCGATGTATCGTTTGGTTCAAAACAATAGATCATAACCTCAAACAAAACATTTCTAATTTATATTGGAAAATCTGAAATTGAGAAAATTTCTGACAATTTCACTTTTCATTGCCATTTGGTACTCGGAAGAATCAAAATTCTATCACAAAAAACCCTTTTCGCCGGATTACTCGATTGACTTTAGAGGCTATGTTTATATGTTGAACCAGTCGACATCGATAAAATCTCACCCGTTTGATGTATCGATTACTATCTATTACTCAGCATCTACGCATTTTCTCCCCTACCACCGGTCAACAGATTCATAGGTTACTCACTCCGGCACTTTCAATTTTTCGTGAAAAAATAGGCCTGACTTCTTGGCATCGGTGCGGGCGGCTCCGGCGCGAAAAATCACGCTGCGTCTGACAAATTCACATCCAGCGACGCGAGGCGCGACACCAAAACAACCCAAGGGAAGCACAGGGGAATAAATTGTCACGCGCGAACAGAGCTCGACACGCGGGGAGATTTGTCTAATTAATGCGAAAAGATGGAAAGCGGGAGAGTGTGGATCCACACAGGTAATCGATCCTCCGTCGTCGGAGATCGTACAGGGGGTTAAGGGGGGCATGAGGGGGGTGTAGGGGACGGGAGGGTTGTGGACAGGGGGATGGTGGTGACAGAGAGATCATCGACCGATCGCCACCAAGTCGCATACCTGCCTCTCGTTCTCACTCTCGCCTCGCTCTATTTATATCCCTCACGTGGACACGTGTTATGCTGTTAGTTGTTGTCAAGTGTCAGATACACTTAGATGGGGGGGGGGGTGTCTTCCTATGTTCCCCCGATGGCTTCATTTAGGATGCGTATGGACATGTCGGTAATTTTGAGGTTAGGATATGGAGCTTTTATGTCCTTACAGGATAGCCAACCAATGAATCCAAATGAAGTCAGAGTGAAACTGACTGGCTATAAAGACATACCGTCCGTTCCAGGCTCAGAAGCCGAAAATTACGGGTGCTGGAGCCGTAGCTTCGATTGCTCCGGGTGCTATGCACGGAACTTCCGGTCTCTGAGCCCGGAACGCGGACAGTATGTCTACATAGCCCGTACGCACGACTTCCACGGGCGGAGCTTTTTTCCCAGTGGATTGATTATTACAATTGTTCCGACCCGTCGTTTATGAAGTACTTATTTGACTTAATTTTTGCATTGATGTACTCATTTTTGCGGAGGAATGCCCATTTATGAACATCCTTGACCATCTGGGTTTGATATTGGAATCTGGAGATTGGCAATGCCATTTTTTTAGTTACAGGGTTGGCTGCTCTTTTGGGCCCAAGAGCTGCATATTTTGACATGTTGGAACTCTCCCTGTAAGGGCACTCTAGCCCAATCCTTGTCATATTCGTAGATCCAGTTCACGTCCAAAGGGGAGGGGACGAATTGAATTTTTTAGAGGGTGGAAAGATCAAAGAAATCCCACCTTACTTCAGCAAGAGATCTATGCGAACCTTTTTCTACCGATAATTTTGAGAATCAATCAACTGAAGCTTGGTCTTGAATTTGAACAGGTGAAAATCCATCCCTACGACAAAATGGCAGCCTTTTGCAGGTTTCGTAAAAATGGAAAAAAAACGTGAATTTGTGAAGCTCGGATTCTACACACTTTGAAAAGTACGATCCGTAAAACGTGGATCCATTTATGTGGACGCTCATCTGAAAATGGACTCCTTCAATGCAGTGCGCCCCATTCAGATTAATGCAAAATGGGACAACCGGGGGGGCTTTAGGGCACCGGACCTGGGTGACCGGGTAACCGCAAACCACATCATGAGTGTGGGGCCGGCGCAGCGCAGCGAAGCGACGCAACCTCTCCTCCCGCTCCCTCCAGGGTGACCAAGCGTGAAAAACAGTTCCACATTCTCCAAGTCCACTATTAATAGGAGGCAGTTAAATGATTCTCAACATTTGCCGAAGGTTCGCGCTTGCGGCTCAAACTTGACAAATCCGCCCGGATCTAGAAATACCGGGATTTTGTGGATCAAATTCCAAGGGGCAAAGCCCTTTGAATTGTCACTTTGTATATACATACATTTTAGAACAAACTTTTTACGCGGAAAAGAATGCTTATAGCCTTACAATTGGCGGGGCAATTTTAATTTCGTTTTCGTTTTGAGTGAACCGAATTCTTAAGTTGACATAAGTGAACTTCAGCTCGGTAAACCGAGGGTTCAATTCTGAAGTTTTAGTCCCACGAGCCGAAACGCCTTGGCCAACATGGAACATTTTTACGTGCCAGCCAGAGTTATTTGGTTCAGTAACTTACTCCGGCTCGTACAGCTGAACTTTCGGTTCACCTAACTAAAGTTCATTTCTGTCATTTACAGAGGTTGGTCCGTTCAACTGGAGGCTCATTTCACTATGCCTATACTGAGGTATAGACGCTTTGAGTGTTACGTCTTAGAAAAAGGGTATGTATGTAGATTTATTCTCATCGTTAGCTTCGAAAGAGGTTGTTCTTCATTGGATCAAATGCCATATTATTGTGAATCCCTATGGTGACGTCATCACTAATAGTGTCCACCCAGTACGTATACATAAGACTTTCCTTCTCCACATAAATCGTTGTGAACATTTTTTAATACGATCTGTGAAAATGATCTAAACGTTATTTTTGTAGAATCCCGCTAAAAAAAGTATGCCTCGCCCAAAACAAAATTTGATACAGTTGAGTCTGTCCTCTTTCAGAACTTGAAACAAAACTCAAAAGACCATATGTCGCAGTTTTCAATTGCAAACAAAGGGCATAAAAAAATCAATTTGCCCAACTTCATTCCTCTCTTGCCTTCAAATATAAGTTTGATGAGTAGAAGTATTTTTTTGGCTTGGTTTTCTTCAAAAAACGGCGGCAATTTTAGAGTAAAATTTCAATGTTTATCTCACTGCGGAGTCCATACACCACCCAAACACCCCGAGAGATTTGATCACGTTGAAAAATCTACTCTTATTACGGAAATACTTTCACTATCACAGAGCGGGAGCTACTCTATTCACGGAGTGTCGTATGCTCTTATGCGGAATGAATTTTACTGCGCATTCACATCAGTCGGGTTCTACGGGTGTTATAAACCCCGTAGTGGAGTAGGTACACCCCGCATTTTACTCCAAAATTTTTACCATCAGTGGAGTTATGAAACCAGGGTGACTCAGCCGTATCAAATCACGGTTTTGCTGCAGTATTTTTTCTGTTTTTTTTTTATTATTATTTATTTTTCAACAAACAACATATGGAGATATGCAAAGGTCATACGCAAATTTTAATTTAAAGTCTCTAATGCACTCATCATGATTTTTGACCCAAACGTGAATTAAAATTTCCCCTCTCCTTCTATAGCATAGCAGTTTTAAACTATGATTCGTTCCAAACAACAACTATGTATTTGCTTTTCCCCAGACCTTCAATGATGACGTCATACCCGCGTTAGGAGTACATAGTTCGCGATCACGTCACTGAGGGAGAACCACTGCATACCTTGCATACATTGTTCCCATGGCTCAATTTAAGCGAGCTCTTGACGGGGTCATTATTTTCAGCTACCATCAGTCCACACACTCCAAATCTCACCACCCCCCTCCCCCTCCGCGGAAATAGCACCATTTAATGCCGCGGCATTGTCAAATTCTGATCACGAATTTTCCCCAAAAATGTGCAGCTACAAAAACGAAAAAAGTTGTGGAACTATTAAATCGAATAAATGTGACCGTTCTCAGGAAACAAGACCTGAGTCCGAGGGGGCCTTGTTCCGTTCGAATCTTCACTATGGATGTAACTCATGCCCGTTTACTTGTTTTCTATGCTGAGGAAAAGCTCCGTATGAATGTTAGAACGTTTGATAATTTACATCAATTAAGTGAAAATATTTTGGAAAAATCACAAGTAAAATTCTGATTGTCGAGGAGAAACCCGCTCTCTTCAAAGTTTTAGAAGGATGTTATTCACAGCTACAGCCTCTTTATCCGAAAATGTCTAAAAATTATTCAAAGCATTCCTCAAAAATGAATATTTTGTCCAAGGAATCTCAGCAATCTTCGATCTATTTAGCGACGGGGGAGGGGGGGGGTGTGTGTGTGTGTTTGGTCCTCTTCGGTAGACAGTGTTTCATTCTGTTCGCCGCGGAAAGCGAAGCTAGGGATATTTCAAAAATATTCGTGGTCGTGGTCCTCTGCCCTCATTTTCAATTTTGAGCTGAGGAGCTAGGCTAAAAGTAGTCTTTAATCAAAAGGTTTTGTGCGAGTTAAACCTCCTCACCCGTTAGTTCAGGTTGCCAGGTTCGACAAAAGTCATTCAGCTAGACAAAAAGTATACTTGTTACATAGTCATAGCCGAAATTGGATGAGCAAAACGACATTTGCGAATTCATAGATGAAATCCTTTAGTTAAGGATAACGAAATAGATTTTTCTCAGTGTGACACTATGGACCTCTGGGCAGGGCTTGCGAATGATGAACAGTGTTCAGCAAAACCGTGCTAAGTGATATTTGAACGACGAAAATAAGAGGAAACAAATGGTCAATACTGCCGTGCTAAGGAAGAACGCCGTTTGAGCATTCAAGATGACCATTCTTCCTCCGATAAAATGTTAATTTTTGAGGAAAATAATCAATACTTTTCTTTGAAATACGCAGACTTTTTAGATCAAATTATGAATAGATCATCTAAGAAATTAGAAGAAAAATATGCCCAAGTTTTCTTGAAAATTAGTGATTTATCATAGGGAATTTATCCACGCCTGAAGGCTCATACGGTGTTTTTCCATAGCACGGAAGAATAGGAGTTTTAAACTCAATTAAAAGCGTACCAAAAATTTTAAAGACCGTAAAAAATGCATATTAACACTTTTGGGCATCAAGACTTATTTGCCTGCTTAGTCTCGAATTTAAGTTTTTTTGTAACATATCCACGTTACAAACTTCTTTTTTACTAAACTATACCCAATTTTGCAACGAGTAAAAGGTCAGGAAGGAATCCTCTGACTCTGATGAATAATTAATTTCTAAAAGTGCAAAAAATAATTCTATAGGAATTTGTCAGTGGTACCTATGCGCATGTGACGCAAAAATTCCATACGAATGTTTTGAGAGTTTTTGCATTCACGCAAGTGTAATTTGATGGCAAAAATTGAGAAAAGCGACAAAAAATATGTTTCTGTCGAGTATCAGTATGTTTTTTTTTGCTTGTTTGTTTTACGTAAATAATGAGTAAACATGTAAAAAATACTGAGGCATGTGCCGAATATGGAACAAACATGCAAAAACTCTATAGTCTTTCGTCACGTTTGTGATTGGTAAGCATGCAAAAAAGAGGATTTAAGTTAAGTTGAACAATTTTTTTTTAACTTTTCACGTCACTGAAAAAAATGATTACTGAGAAAGTAAATACTCACTGATGATCGTTCTATCTAAAGAGGGATCAGCTTTGAGTTGCATGTCAGTGGGAAAAACGTTGTGAAATTTACACCTCCCTGAAAATTAAAGCATAAAATTGAAGGTATTTTTTAAGATTCTTTTTATCACAGGAATCAAAGCCGAAGAACACGTGTCTTGGCACCTATGAGATTTTATTTGATAATATTCTGGTGGACTGGCTGAGTTCCAAAGTATTCATCTTCAATTCACGCGTCTTTTCGTTGCGCGGAGTACGATATCACTCCGTACTAACGGATCGTTGGACTTTAATTTATTTGAGTTTTTGCAATGAACGTCTCCTTGGAAAAAGAGCGCCGTGAGATGTGGTTTCATTTTCATGCATGTAGATAAAGATGTTTAAAGTGAAAATATTTACATAACTTTTATAACCACATGCTTTTATAAGCTTCATGATTTGCGGAAACTTTATAATTTACAGAAATTATTAATTATGCTATTCGATTACCAGGACTAAAATTTTCGATTGCCTGAATCTAAAACTTTAGTGACCCATTTAAACTGAGATTTAGATCTTGTAATCGAAGTTTTTCCCCCCGTGTATAGTACAGGGACCATTGGCGGATCCGGCTAATTGGCAACATTGTTTTTTCTCCATTTAAACCTAGAGAAATGTATTGATTCTGGGAGAGGCCAGGTGCTTTAACAAGAATCGAGTATTTACCGTATGCGTAAATGGAGGAAATCCGGTGTTGAAAAATTGCTGGATCCGCCTCTGACAGAGACCTTCACTACAATGAAATCAACGAATTCTCTTGAACTGAGAAAAATAATCGCCACTGCTTCTGACCCCACCTCCTTTTCCCGGTCACGTAACGTAAGTTACTTGACAAACAGCCAGAAAGTTGAAGCGGAAACATCGCCTGACTTAACAAAGCCAATAAACTCGACAACTGTAGTTCTCGTCGATTGTCAAAATATTCACACTTCTTCCCCTGTTTTTATCCAAGATTATTTCGAGCCGTGTTCAATTCCTCTTTCTTTCTTATTTCCTTCTTGCTCCTTTCCGACATTACGGAATTGTTCTGACCGTCAAGTCCACGGTCAAGGAAAGCGTAATCCTCGTGGGAAAGCTTTTTGGCCTCGTTGTCGGACCGGGGTGTCTTTCCATCGGCGAGCTTTTAACTTTTTTCGCATGAGCCGACAATCGTGGAACTAAAAACGTAAACACACTGTCACCTGAAGAAGTTTTTGGCACGCGTCACTTGCATGTTTTGTGACGCTTTTAAGAGCACTTTCATTTACTTGACGCGGAGGGGAGCCTTTATTGAGCCAACAAATACCTTTTGATTGTCTCTCGAAATTGACAGTGAAAGTACGGGAAAACGTGACGGAACGCTAGTCCAAAACTTCCGCTTTCATTGCACATATTTTTTATCGGAAAGCATATCAACTTCGTTTTTTGAAGGGAGCTCTGTGTTACAGATGTCACAGGGATGTGTGAACAGAAATATTCTCATCCGGGAACAATTCTGCAGTCCGTTTTTTATATTTCTAAATTCGAATACATTTTCAGACATGCATGAGCTCAATCCCACAATCGGTGATGCGCATTGTCTTCGTTTAACCATTAATATCCATACTTTGCACGCTGGACTTGTTAAATTAGGCAGTTTGTCAAAGGCCTAGGTAGAAAGATCTACCTCCAGTTAAAAGTTCGAGATTGTTCCGGATTTTTGCTGAGGATAAGCTAGATCAGCTGAAGAGCGCCATGAGCACGATTAAAAGTTTTTTGGTAGATGTTTTATCAGTGTTCGTGATTGTTTTCAGAATGTTTAGCATTTAGTTAACATTCACTTGAAATCGATGAATGCCTCATAAGTGATAGTTTAACGGTAGAACACGATATGAACAATGTATTTTCACTGAAAAAAAATGTAGACGAGTGATATAAGTATTGTAATCACCGTCAGACTTTACGGTAGCAAATTCTAATATCGTCCACTATAAGTATGGTAAATGTTATCCGATGCCTGTTTATCCTGAACATACAATATCATTGTGTCAAAAATCAAGTAAACTCGTGTCAGTGTTTAGCATACCTCTGATAAAAGCCCTCCTTATTTTCAGTGTAAAACTGAAGAAAAACTGATTTTTTAATAAATTTTTCCTCCCCGAGAGCCAAAGTATGAAGACAATGTCCATCAAAAACACGAAAAACTTGGCAGATCCTCCAAATTCCCCTATTTATTTTATATTTCAATCTCTCTATTTACTATCTACCTGTAGTCAGGCATTTGGAAAAATGCCTAATTTGACTATTGGTCCGTGACTTATATATTGCAAGAGCAGGGATGTATGTTGTTGGGCTGCTTCTAAATTCGATCGGTATAAATGAATTAACTCACGGAAGTGCCGTAAAGGGGAGTGGACCATCGTTTCGTTGACCACGCTCGTAGTTAGCTCCTCATCGAAATTGGACGTTGAGTTGGCCGCATCGATGATTTCCACGATGGTGACGTTCCCTTTGACGGTGGAGTTGCCTATAGCCTCTCGACATACTTTGAAAAGCCCTGTGTGACTCGCCTGGAAGAACCTGCCGAGGCAAAAATAGAATCGGATGGATTTCATGCGGGTCGCTTTTGAACTATCGCAACCTGGCACCTCAGAGGTGAGATCTACCGTGCTAAACAGAAACGCCGTATGAACATCCGAATGTTGCCAAACTTTCCCTAGATAAAATATCAATTTTTTACAAAAGAAAGATACAAGAAAAATACACTTAAAATGAGTATGGCAAGGATGAATACGGCCAGGACATTTCAAGTTAACTACATTTTCCTTAATCTGCGGTTTTTGGTACTCAATCTTCGGTTTCAGGAACTGAATTCTCAGTTATGGAGCTAAAGGCAATGAAAGAAAAGTCAGTTCCCGACTGAGAGCTTAAAGACATATTCAAAGTCACCTTATTAATATTATTATAAACCACCTATTGGGTATTTATATTCAAAATGTTCTTTAAGAAACGCATTTCCTTGGGTACATCCATATGGCTTATAAATATGACTTTTGGATGTTAAAGGAGGCCTCGTAATTTATCGAATTTGCATTTATCATTTATCGTTCACTAAATTTAAGATGTTCTCCAAAAATCGATCTTTTGAATTTTAGGGTGTTCAGCATTTAAGAAACAATGCAGACTGTACCTCTTTAAAGCTGTATGGTAGTCGTTTCATCAAACATATTATTTTATTCATCTTAAGGGCTCGATTAACCGACTTGATCAGGTTTTTAATTCTTAAATTTTCCCTTGAAAATTTTTCCTCGCGTCTTAAAAAATACTTTTGACAATGGATCCTATTCGATACATCAAATGGAGGGATCAATAGAAATATGTCGATGTCGATTGGTACAACATGTATAAACATAGCCTGAAATGTCAATCGAGTAATCTGTCGGGGAACGAGTCTTTTGTGATATACTTTTGGTATCTATGAGTTCCACATGGCAATGCAAAGTGAAATTGTTAGGAATTTTCTCTATTTTCAAATTTTCTACGTTAATTCTAAACATTTTTGTTTGAGGTTATGTTCTATTGTTTTGACCCAAACAATACATCGAAACACTATCGAATATGATTCATTCTTGAAAGATATTGATAAAGGCAATTTTCCCCCCTCTGAAACGACAAAATAGACTTGAACATGTTGAAACACTGATATCAAGGCAGGTGTTTATAACCTTTTCAGCATATTCAAAATGACACAAAGACTTTCACGTCTTATTTTTGGCGCTGTACGTCAATGCATCGTGGAAAATTCTGAAAAAATTTCTATTTTCCCGATTTCTCATGAAATTTCCATGATCCTTGGTCAGCACGCGCAGGTGAGTTTTGTATGTCCGTTATGGAATATGATCGATTATCGATATATCCCCATATGCAGGTACGGTAAAGAATCGAATACTAAGGTGTTCGTTGCGAACACCCTGTATATCGATCATTTTGCCACAGTTGCAAATGGCAGATCAATCGATACATCGCAAAGCAAGCCATGCTACTGATTACTGATGCTCTAATATGAATGTTGTTAGTGAGCACAATTCTTTCATGAGGAGCATAAATTCCTTTTCTGGAAAATCTGTGGATGTCAAAATCAAAGTCATTAGCTGCCTCAGCGCTAAAAATGAACTGGTATCACCTAACAAATGCCCGAATTTTTGAGTGCAGACCTGCGTGATTTAATGAAACAGCTTCGCACCGCACCTCACCTCATAAAAACAGCAGAGTTCAATTAAACCACCGAGTTGGCAGAAATTTCCGTCTCATTTACGCAGATGACGAATCGCGGAAACGTCCCGCAACGCTAATAAATCCGACTCGATCTTTCATCGTGGCCGTCCGTATATCATTCAAATTCATGACCCCTCAGTCCCGAAACGAACGCTATCACCCCCATTCAATCTCACGAAACAATGTAATTTGGCTCATGGACAAAAAGAACCGACAAACTAGCCTCTCAGAATTGCACAGAACTTCACCTCAACTTCCCATTGCTCCCACCGACAAAAAAGCGTAACTCATATTCACCATCTTCCATATAATTCCATACTTGAGTCCATTCTTTCCAGGTCTCACGTCCAAATTGAGTCACGCCCTTACGTCCAAGTTTTGTGAAAGCTCACTCGGAGATACTCGGAGCTATATGCGAGACGTCTTCTTTCGGACAGAACGTCAGAAGCGCCATTTGGGCCTGGACCCTATATTGCCAAACTTCTCATACTTTTAAGCTGTTTTTCCGAAGGAAATAACGCACTAGATCATCAGTAAATTTTATCGAATATGCCTAACATCATCATGATTAATTATTGAATTTTTCATAAAAGAACATGTTGAAGTTTTGGAAACAAAGTCATAACGTTTTTATGACACATGGCAACATGGCGTCTGAGCTCAAATGGCGCTTGTGAAATTCTGCCTGGAGATGAGGTTGGTGATAGCTAGGGACAAATGGAACAGCCTGATCGTGGGGATATTCTTATGTGATTTTTCCGGGCAGGTCGGAGCGGGCCGTCCCGTTATTGAAAAGACAGATGTAAGGCATAGCTATTTTCTTTTTCATGCTTCATATGTAGTCGCTTCGAAAACGCCTTCAATCTTTAGACTATTGCGGTGGCCTCCATTTCATCTTCCTTTATGCTTGTGCCTTTTTATCAGAGAGGAGCAAATAGCTGTGAAACACAGTTCAACTGAAAATGAGCCTTTTAGGAAGGGGGGAGGGTTAGGATACTTTTATATGTATTATAGATAAAATAAAACTAGAATATTCCATTTTTCATCTCGGTAAGTAATGGAAGGAAAGTTGGGGCAAACCAGGTTTTCAATCCATAAAATGGCTTCCCCACCTTCTTTCGCTTTATAATCACTCTCTTCATGACCGATATTGAAGAAGAAGAAGGAAACAAGGGAAAAAACCTGGTGAAAGTAAATTTATTACTGATTGGTGATCCTGAGGCATGCATTGTAGCAATTGTGGATGCAGTTACAATAAGTTCTTATACAGATAACACGCGCGTAGCGAACCTTCCTATCTTACTTTATGGCATTGCTTTGTAAAAATCTGCAGTATTTAATCATACACATTATTCTACATAAAATCCAACTGATACACGAATGAACCTTAAAAATTAGTAATCATATTCTAATTTCATTTCCTTTCCCTTTCCTTTTTCCCTCTCTGTATAGCATCTGTGTCCATTTACAAGTATTATTTTAAAATAGCTTTCTATTCGTATACAATTGATGCTTCAAACAGAATCAATTGTTTTAATGACATTTCCAGCTAAATCATGGGTTTTCCCAGGAAGGCAGCCTCTCGTCCCTCCCGGACTCTATTGTTGCCAGATAAGTTGCTTTTTTAACACTTTTCCCCCAGTAAAATATTTACATTTATCGCACAATCTGGCAACCTCTCGAGGGAAATAGAAAAAGGTAGAATCGCTGAAAGTCTGAATCCTTCGAAGTTTATATTAATGATGATTGAAAAGTGTAAAATGTTAATTTTTATTCCGAAAATACTCTTTGAAGTATCCAAGGAACAAGAGAAAGCAGTATAGTGTACTTATGCACCGATTAAGACTTTCATCTGCATTTTGATTCAATAACTTCTAGCCCCAATTATGGCGAACCATAACTCTAAGCAGCTTTTTTTACTTATACGAGTATTAAACTACCAACTTCTAACCCTCGTATGATTGGTCTGAATGAACATTTTATAGCGTGTTTTGTGTCAAAATGCTCCTTCAGCACTATCCAGGTAAAGATGCTACTTTGCTATAGTTCCACAATTTTGAAATACGGCCAATTTTTCTTAATCGCAGCACATCCGTCCTGGACAATTTTTTCCCGACTGAGCGGATGTCCCGATGCGATGCGAAAACATCAAAAGCAGCGAGAAAATGGTCAATTTTGAGATCAGTCAAGCATCGACTTAAGAAAGATCTTATTCCTCTTTGATATAGAATCTTTTAAGGCATTTAACGTGTCTTTGCGCATCAGCTGATGAAACATGGAGCCGGCACGGTGGTTCGTCATCGCCATAATCTCCGTGCTTTGACTGTTCGGGTGCTGCTTGCGAATTTTTAAGTGATTTTGACATGCGTTTTGAGCGTTCTTCCGGCAGAAAATTTTCCTTATAGACCAGGGTTCTATCCTAATAAAGCGGAATTATTTCTACATTGAAAGGATTCAAAAGATTCCGTTCCGGTGGATATTTTTTCTGTCCCGATTCATCAGTGTTCAAATTAAGCAAAGTTCACTGTTTCTTATGCCAAGGCCTCTTTTCATACGTACAGTCAGAAATACAATTGGATTAATCAATATTTGTCGCGAAAGGTTATACCATACCGTACCTAGAATTACATATTTCATAGTGGTTTCGACGGAAAAACACCGTCTTGTTCCCAACAATGGGAAATGCAATTAAAAGTGTATTTAGTTAGTCTGTTGTAAGATATTCTGATAATGATTTTACCTTTTAGTTTCGTTGACGTAGATGCCGTCCTTGAAATCACCTTTGTGGATCCAGTACCAGTAGGGTGTGGTTATGGAGAATAACCAGACAATTGCTGCAATACCTATGACTCCTGTGCACACGAAAAGGATCCTCCTCTCAAACATCATCTGCTTCTGCAGGAGTCTCGCCCTCTCTTTCATTTTAGGGATTTCATTTGTCTTCTTTTGTATCGAGCCTCTCGTCAGCGATGAGTTTCGCCTGCGTGAAATCCATTAAAAAAAAAAAAAAAAAAAAAAAAAAAAAAATCAAACAGTAATTAATTTTTTTACAGATAGAATTATTTTAAAATTATATTTATGAGGGTGGTTTCGCATAAGAGGAATAGTCATCAGTCATGTCGCCGTAAGTTATAAACGTCGTAGGACAAAAAGATTGCAAATGAAGTTGATAAATCAATAGGAATGGTGTCCCTGAACTTGCCCATGCTAAAAAATATGATAAATTATCATCATATCTAATAATATGAGACGTTAAATGCCGAAAATGTCCGGTCAGATACGCGTCGCCAACCCCGATTTTGAAGCAAAAGAGCAATTTGCGGTAATAAATCAGTACTGATCATGAATTCTTTGGCAATATTTGCTGAAAGGAGACTCGAATGTTCAAGAAAATTGCCATTTTGAAAAAAATGTTTGTAATCAAGCAAGAAAAGTCATTAGGAAGATGTGTTCCCACATTTGGCAACATATTTTATCAGTTGTATGAAGTGCAGTGTTTACCGCGCCAGATGGAGTCAGGAGTTTCAAATCTGTCATCAGATTGCTCGCTGAAGTCTTCTCGACCAAACAATTACTGATAAGTCAGTTTTTTTTACAATGTAAACTTTAATTTTTATAGAAACCAGTGATTTTCAGGTGTTTAGCACTTATTCCTCACTACACAATATCCTCAATTTAATAATACTTAACTAAACGGAAGTCCCCAAAGTTTAGAAAACTTTTAAGGCAGCATTAATTCCACCTCATAACTCAAGAATTGCAAAGTTTCATCTCTTGTATCATCTTTTATTTCACATTTTCAAGTGTCGGTCACGGTGTGTCGGTTACGTAACCAACACAATTCGACAGGGCCGTCATGTTAGCGTGGACCTCCCCACGGGAAGCGCTAATACCTGATGCAATGGCTTCTTTATCAATCACGATAACTTTGTACTGAATCAAAATAGAGCGTGCCAAAGCTGGAAAAATGAATTTTAATACATTTAAAATGAGGCAATGAAATCCTGTTGAAATTGGTGAACTTTTATTTTTAAGGTGTTGCACATTTTAGCTATTCCTGATATCGTGCGAAATCACCCTCGCAAAACTATAATTATGACAGGAAAAGAAACGTTGTAAAAAATTCAAATCGGCGACAAGTCTTGTCCGAGACGCGTCATACCGGAGAGTTAGAAGGGGGAAAAGGCGGAAAAATAGTATACTAAAATGTTAGCACACTATTCTGGATGTTGAAATTGTTTTTTGTGAGAATACTCATAGGTTTAGCCATACAACAATGGCGGATCCAGTGACACCTCGAGAGTAAAGGATATTTCTCGTGTAAATCTAGCTTGGCAGCAGCACCCCTCTTCTTCAGATTTTTAGGGGGAGTTTTTAGGGATTGGGCCGGTGTGGCTGCCACTACCTAGAATTTGGTAGATTTGGGAGAAACTCCGGGAAGTAAAGGGGTCTTGAGTCCTTTCGCACAAAATTTTGCGAAAAAGACTCCCTGCAGTCATGTCAAATGGACCACTAGACAAGGTACGAATTTCAGCATTCTGACACATGTTTCTTAACCAAAATTTCACGTAAAACACGATGCGCACAACAAAAATTACCGAAATCAACTCCTGACAAAGATATTTAATGATTCCTGATGCGTGAATTCAAACCACTCGCTCATTAAGACTCAATGCTCTACGTGATTTACATCGCGCGTTAAACATTATCATGACAGTTTCTGCGATATAAAAATCTGGCAACCTCAATAGTGACGCTTTGGCTATAGCAAATTGCTTCTATTTGGAACAACACATGGTGGGAAATGAACATTGCTCGATTGAGAAGCTTGCTGAAACCGTTGTAGTGCGCGATTTGACTCGCGTAGAGCTTTGAGTTTCTTGTGAGCGGCAGCGGGCAGTGCAAATTCCACGTAACCAGTGTGAAATAAAAACGTAAATATCTTCGTTAGGTGTTGACTTCAGTAATTTTCGTTGTGCGAATCGTGTTCTACGTGATATTCTGGTTAAGGAACATGTATCAGATTGCTTAAATTCGTACCTTGTCTAGTGGTTCATTATAAGCAGTATCAGCTTACAAATGGTGTAATGTTAGAAATTTCAAAATTTACTTATTTTTACCACTATTACTTAGGTAAGATTTGTCTCGATACACTATTTGCCTCTGGAGATAGGAGTGTTACCAAAGCAAAGGAACCGTCCATTTACAGAACGCTCCAGGGGGGAAGGAAGCCGAGGAAAGCGTTACGCCATTTTGTTTTTACGTGTTAAAGGATAGGGACATGCTCCTTAAAAGCGTTACAAGGGAGAGGGGGGGGGCAAAAATTCCGAAAAAGTGCGTTACGTAATTTATGGACAGCCCCATAGCAAAAGCAAACAAGAGACAGGAGCGTTAAGCTAAAGATAATATTTTCAAGTAATAAAAAAGCTATACCTCCCATACCCTAAAAGTGTGCTTTTACCTTCCCTCTACTTTCCTGCTTCTGTTCTGACTCGAGTGGGGGCGATGGGGAAGGGGAGTGGGGGGCATGCCTCCGTCACCTCTTTCTGGGCTCGGCATTGTCTCATAATTAATTTGACATCCCGAAGATGTAATATCAACCGTGGAGGTTGTTACATTAGCATTCATAGATTTAACCAGACACTTTTGCGTCCACTATGTTCAGTCATCATTTTATTATTTTCCATTAAAAAAAGTATTATACCTAGAAGCAAATTTTCGTTCACCAACTCCGTAACAAATCCGTAAACAGTTATCCTGCGCGTTAATGAAGTTTGTATTTTTATCAACCAATCAGAGACCGGTGGCCTCTTTCTACCAGAGTCGTCAACAGGTTTGATAACGTGGCGCGGAGCACGTTTACGAACCCGTAAACTGTTGACGAAAATTAAATTATATTCAATTACAGGCGATTTGGCGGGAAAGGCTAGGCTGTACCCATTTAATCACAACCGGAGAACGAACATTTGTTTTGATGACGTACTTGGTAAATTGTTTACCCACGGATTTCGTCAACAGTTGACGAACGAAAATTTGCTTAAAAATTCCATCAGTTACCCCAGTCTCTCCCTTTTTGGGATTTGACCTTTCATTAACATTGTACAGACAACTTTTTGTTACTGCATGTTAATGGTCAAAACATATTCCTCCGTGAAGGTGACCTAATTTCATCTCCGTATGTCGGCCAGATGCAAACCGCGGGGGCGAGTTTTATTACCTCTCGTCAAAACCTCGCATCAAAGGGGAGGAACAAAAAACCGGGCCAGAAAGAGCGACAAACACAAAGAGAGGCCTTTAACACGTTTCGATTCGTTTTGAGTAGCGCGTCCAACGACGAGAAACTCAAAGCCATGCAAATTCACGTTAGACTCGTAAAGAGTGGACGGGATCGGGATGTGAATGCGAGAACGTAACGTAAGTTACAGGGCATTGGAACGAAAACGCGGAAAGACGCTGTTAATCCGTTCGGCAGACGCGAAAATTGGCAGGAATCGCCCAAGACAGCCAGACAGAGACGTTGTTGAGCCGCCGTCAGACGAGACGGCTGCGCCTGTCGAGATGGTCTTTTACATGCTTGACATGGTCGAGTATGACCTGACGTCCAGCGGGACCTTCCAACATTTACTCATTTATCTCCACGATATTTACATGCAGTTTACCCATCCGCCATTCTTGAAGGTTGGCAGTACTGTTTTTCCGCCATTTAAATGTCGTGTCGTCGCCTTCAGGCCAAAGTATCACAAGCGCCATGCCACGTTCCACAATTTTAGCCGCCATTCTAGTTTATTACAGAGGTCGGCCTCCAATGGTGTAGTGGTTGTAGCGCTAGCTCTATGATCGGGAGGTCCCGGGTTCGATTCCCGGCCAGGCGACCCGAGTCTGAAGGTCTAAAACACTGGTTGCCTGAGACTGGTTGTAGGGACGGAGGGGGGCTGGGCCTAAAGCGCAAGCATTAGCCCGCTTGGGCTATTTGAAGTAGGAAAAAAAAAAAAAAAAAAAAAAAAAAAAAAAAAAAAAAAAAAAAAAACCTAAAGCGCAAGGATTAGCCCTCTTGGGCTGTTTAAAGTAGGAAAAAAAATAAAAAACTAAAGCGCAAGGATTAGCCCTCTTGTGCTATTTGAAGTAGAGAGAGAGAGAAAAAAAAAAACTTGTTGGTTCAATCCGTTTGAAAATTGCCCTGAATTTTCTTCGTGCTGCCGATGAAATTCGATAAAATTTTCAAACAAATTCAACAAACAGTTTTACTTTAAATAATAAAAAAAAAGATGGCGGCTTGCAATTTTTAAACGTCGTATGGAGCTTGTCATACGTTGGCCGGAATATGAGGATGTAAGTTTAACAATCGATTCTTGGTCGCAATCGCAGCTTGCCTCACCTAAAATTGATAGTAATGATGGGCTTAAGTGGAGGATAAACAGCGTTGACAAATTGCAAAATTGACCCTGATTTTACAGGAATTAGAGACCACCTCCAACGCCAACTAAATTTAAGCACTGTTAGACTGCGGCAGAAGATCTTTCGACGTCATTTCCGCATAGAATGTAAATGCAAGTAGCAAGATGGCGGATCTTCTGCCGCAGTCTAAAAAAGCGTAAACTGAGTGAGCGTGGAGACGAGCAGGCTAAGACTGATCTTAAGGCCAATCTGCCAGTGGCAAATACGACATTTGACGCGCCGAAGACGCTCCTCTAACAGATAGCAAAATATGGAGAGAAAAAAATTATGACCGAGAAAAAATGCCGAAAATTCTTAAATGAACGGGAGAGGAAAAATTAAGAAAAAAGCGAGACGACAATTTTTAAACATCTATTCGCGATACAATTATTCGTGATTAGTGGATGTGCATATTGAATATACGACGTTTAAAGCGAGGGGGCGTGAGTCGTGAACTCGCAATGCTCTGCTCGTGCTGCTCGTGAGACTCGGGAGAAAAGTTTTAAAAAAAACCGGATTACTTGTTTCCCATTTTTGGCTGTGTTACTCCCGTAGCCT